ACACAATCAACTGATAAGCTTACATGTATCTCAGATTTATACAGTTGTTAAGTTTCAGTTGTACAAATGTCACAACCATTGGACTTGTTATGTCATTATTCTTCACATTTAACTGTTTTTATCATCGGAATTTGTTTTTATCATCAGTCTTAAGTCTAGTTTTCACTTCTCAAAAATTCACTTCAATTACACACAGTCAACAGATAAGCTTACCTCAATCATAATCAAGTTCCTCTTTCTAGACTGAAACACAGATGTAGGTCTAACGTTTAAAAACCAACCTTATTAGATTTTAGCTCACATAAACCTGTACATACACTGTAGATTCATGTGTGGACATACAAAGACGTAGATGTCATATACAGCTACATGTAGTATGTTGATATCATAATGTGGTAGGTACTTATTGCAACAGAGACGATCATATTTTCCTCCAGGTGGCGTTATAGTACTGCCCAGTTTGTCAAACATGGCGAAAACTGTTCAGATAAAAGCAGTGGACCAATTTAGAATCGCCATTGACCTACATAATAATATTTCATTTTGGGTGTTTTCTTCTGGTTTCTTTTTTAAATATATTTAACACAAATGCACTATATATATATATATGCATTTTGATTTTAGTAAATTTTTAATCAAGTTTTGCTTGTAAGATAAGGGTGAGGGTTGGACAGAAAAGCTTTAGCCCCTCCCCCATAAAGCAAATTGAACCTACTCTCTGGGAAGAGTTGTTACACCTTACGTGATCAGGGAGTGGATGCGAGGCGGTCTGGAAACTAAGTATACGAATATTTATGTTTTAACCTATTCAGAATAACGTTTCAATGTATCAGTGTTAGGGATTTAATGTTCACTTATTTATAATTGATTTTATAAGAAGTGCTGTGACACGTGCATGCATAAAAATGGTTTGGCCATTCCCCAGTGTTTCCCCCACAACATTTTGCTTCCTCCATTACTTCACCTTATCACGTCCTATGGAAATGTCAATTATTTCGAACTTCGTTAGTAGAAAAAGTATCGTCAGTTGAAGACGTACAAGGAGTATATTTGCAAGAAGCAGACAAAAAGGGGAAATGCTGTGGAATCTCCCATTTAAATTCCCATTTACTAACATGTAAATATTTGTAGTAAGCGGTTGGAGGTCGAAATAAAAGCATAACAGACAGTAGGTACACTGTATAAGTATTACACTTCTAATTTCGGCACGATTTCACTAGTCCAGTCGTACTATTTCAGTCCGTTGAATATATAAGTTGAATTATAGATACACTGTACAGATTTTTGTATGACGGGAGCTTTAAAAATTGTGGGTTCACTGGCCAACAATGTAAACCCTTCAAGGCATAGGGGGCGAACTGATAGCGCAAAACAAATGTTAATCATTCTGTTGATACATCATGTTGATACCTTTAAAATAAAGCATTGGGTACTAGAAACATGGCATGTCTAAGACTGCGTGGTCGTCAGATACAGGTTTGGTTTATTTCAGTAAAGATATCTGCCCCTTATGCCTTTCAACGTGCTCTATTCTCGTAAGACCTTCAAGTTTGCCGCCAAGGCCTTTGTTAAATGGTACTACAATAATGATTACCCTCTACCAGGGCCACAGATTGATTTTTCACTAGATACACGTTTTCACAGATATGTTTCTAGTTAAATGATGGTAATTTTCTGCCCTGCATGCGTCAGAGAAAAGTGCACATGAAATCAGCGGCCCTGGGAGATTGTTGGTTTTGATACACGCGACCAAGAAAGTTCGGAAACGTGAAATTGTTTTTCAATAATCAAAAAAAAAAAAAAATGTAATGTGTTGGGAAAATTTTCTGTGTAAATAAACATTAACAAATTGTGGGTTCATTAATCAACAATATTTGGTTAAAATATTTAC